GTGAAACTTTCATATCCCTTCCAAGGTGCGCTGTGTGTAGAATGGTGTTATTTGCCTGATGGGAGTTCCTGTGGGGAAAGTCAGAGCATGGACTAGATGCTGGGTGAGAAAAGTATTTCCTCTTCCATGGAAAGGCATTTCCTCTTTTAACACTGCTTAATTTCATTAATTGTTCCTGTTATAAGACAGCTGACAACCATATAGTTGTGTAAATGTAAAATATTTTGGTTCCATAAAAATACAACCTGGAAGCTTTATAAAACAGAAAAAAGTCCCTATAGGTGTGTTAAAATCTCTCTTAAGAAAAGGTTAGGATTTGTCAAAGCAAAGAAGAGCATTTAGGACCACAACAGTTATCATAAAATTAGGGGAAAGAACTTTACTTGAAGCGATTATCTTTTTTTGCTGTAAATACAGAGAACTTAATTGCATTGAGTCTTTGCTTGCTTGCGCGATCAGAATCACAGTTAAGCTAGCGATGGGTTGAAATCTGTGTACCCCAGCTCTTCGATGAATTTGTAATCCCAGTGTCCAGACTGAATTACACAGCTGCCTTTTAACTAATCCTTACAGGAGAATCTCCCGAGCTGTTGGGGTATCGCTTTACTGCCTGCCATCTTCCAGTGAGATCCAGCTGGTCTGCTTAATTGCTGGGTGGAAGTTCTTACCTTTACAAGCAAAGAGAGGCAAAGGCTGTCTCACAGAAGTTACTGAATAAAGTGCTTGCTTCTGAATCTTCTGGGAAAGGCAATTAACAGAAACTGCATTAGATTGCTCAAGAAATTATATGATTCTAGCATTTTATATACTGCATAAAATGAACTAATGGTGTTTAGCCAGGTGTGATGCATCTTCCAAAGTAACATCAAGAATGTGACAGCTCTCCGTCACCACTGGTATCACAGACTGCCTGGGCTGTGCTGCAGGGAACTTTGTAGCAAATTTTGCAGAAAACACGCAGGAAAAATTATTTCGCTTTGACAAGCAGATGAGGTGCAGGCAGATGTTGGGGAAGAACTGGCTGCATCCTCATTTCTAAAAGGGAGGTGAATCCGAATGACTGATGTTCCCTGTCAATGCAAGATACCTGCCCAAGCTAGGAAGTGAACTGACAGACCTGTAAGTTGGACAAAAGCATATCTATCACTACCTGGGGAGGCATACTGAAAAGGGAATGCATCAGCCTGCTTATCTTTTTTTGAAGCTAGTGCTTTTAAAACATCTGGTTTTATAGAACCCCTGTGTATTAGTCAGGTCCAACTCAAGTAGGCGTGAGCATTGTAACAGCCTGCTAAACAGTATTTGTTTATTGTTCCTCAGCTGTAAATAAGTTCTTGCCCTGAACAGCCTTGATAGTTTCCTCGAGGGTGATGACTGCCTGGCAGAAGCTATTAAAATCAAACTAGAGAGTAAGAAACAAACATTTAATCCAGCAAAGCTCATGAAGTTGATGGTTGTTTTAACCACAACAACTGGAAAAGGAACCATGCAAATTTTCCGGGCAATTTAAAAGAAATTATTTAACATACTTAAAATGATTAGGATGATTAAAGGATTGCAGCACCTGTTAACGAGGCTGAGACACCTGGAGAAGAGATGGCTTGGGAGGGATCTTAGTGTGTATAAATACCTGTGGGGGAGGAGCCAAGAAGATAGAGTCAGGTTCTTCTCAGTGGTGCCCAGTGGCAGGACAAGAGGCAATGGGCACACACTGAAACACAAGAAACGTAAGAAAAAGATTTTTTTACTGTGATGAACGGCTGAACACTGGTACAGCTTGTCCAGAGGTTGTGGAGTCTCAAAGAAGTTGTGGTGATCTTCAAACCCTGAATGGATGCAGTCCCAAACAATCTGCTCTAGCTGACCCTGCTGTGAGTGAGGCAGTTGGACTAGCTGATCTCCAGAGGTTCCTCCTGACCTTGACCATCCTGTGACTAGAACAAAAAAAGAAAAGAAAAAGGCTTTCTAAAGGAGTTTAACTGGGAGTTTTAGGGTCTTTCATCAAAAGATTAATATTTTCCAAATAAAAATGAAATGATTGTCCAGACCAGTGTTGAGTGACATGAAACACAATATAATTATAATGAATTAGTACTTCAATGACGTAATGAAGTTAAATACAACTTAATCTTCTCCTCTGGTGTTCCTTAGAAGAAAAGACTGCATGGGAAAGAGGGGTGCCCAGGTGCCCTCTTGAAGTTATCTGGGCTTTCAGCAGCTGCTGGTGGTTCTGAGACCTTTGCTCTCCCTGTTTTCCTGGCATGCTCCAGCTCTCTTGGCTGCTCCTGCTGCACCTGTGTCCTCTCTGAAAGCAGCCGTGGTGGGCTGTGGTGTATTTAATAGGAACCGCGTGGCTGAAGCAACTTGGCGCTGAACACGCCACCTTGCTGCTTTTTTCCTCCCTTTGGATGTGTGCATCTTAAAAAGAGCTCAGAGAGGAAGTGGCTTCTAGGCTCTTCAAGCTCAAGAGGTAAGAAATTCCATGTTTGCTATTAGTGAAACAAAAGCGGGGATGTGAATGCTCTTTTACTCGTCACACTCTACTGATCTGCTGGCTTCTAGCTCCACCCACTGCTTTCTTCCTTCTCCAGCTTTAAAGTTTGATTTAGAGAAGCATTAGTATGATATGATGATACTGTCCATTTTCACAGCTTTGATGAACCCAGGGGTTAGTTACGATGACCACGAGTGCTCAAAGTTAAAGGAGTCCTCTGTTAGGTCTCTAAGGGGAAAGTGAGAGACAGAACCTCTTTGTAAGCTCTGCTTCCCCCAAGCAAGGTAATAAAATCTCCAGTGTTAATGGTAAAGTTTTTGTGGGGATCTCCCCCTCAGGCCTGGGATAACCAGGGTTAGAGCCAGGCCAGGTGGTGGTATTGTGGCGCAGCAATTTGTGGAGTCAGAACGGGATATTGCACGTGCTGGCTGAAGAGACAGAAGGGTGGTGAGCAAGAATCGTGCTGCAGCCTAGGGTTGTTGTGGCCAGGTTTCCTGGACGCTTGTACACCTTGCAGCTGCTGCAGGTCCCAGGCTTACTAAGTGCACAGTGGTGACAAGAGGCAGGTGAATGGCCGTGTGTGCCAGATGCTCCTAGCACAGACATAGGGAGGGACTGCACGGGCTGGCATGGCTCTTGCAGCCATAGCTTCTTTGGACATGGGGAACAAGTCAAAGCTGCAGTCAGGGAAGTGATAATTGATGGAGGTGAAGTGGTTGATCTGGCTTTGCCTTGTCAATTGTTTTGAGTCCCCACCAAACTTCTGCAGTGACCAAAAGTCAGAGTTGCCCAAGCTCTGAGATACCAGGTGGCGAGGAGACCTCTATGTCTCCCAAGTGGTTTTCTTACTAGGTAGGCTGCAGTAGTGCAAGGCTAATGTTTTTAAGTCATACTGCTTGTATTTTATTTTGTGAAACCAGATAGCAGTGATTTCAATCTTAAAGCTGGGACATACTGTCTCTCCTTGATTCATCCTAATCGTTCCTCTGGCGTGTTGGGCATTTATATGGGTTGGATCAGGTCCCACAGCTGCTGTTTATTCTGTGCAGCTCTTTGTGAATCCCAAACTAAATCTGGAGTGGTTTTGTTGGTTTTTGTTTTTTTCTTCTAAAACATTTTGTCACAGCTGCTGTTGCTGTGGCCTTCTGGTTTCTCCCTCCGCTTGCTTTGGCATTTGCTCTGCAGACTTCTTCAAAAGTACCTTGCTCACTTTGCTGGGTCATTGCTGAGCATGGAAATGCTTGCTGGTCTAACAATTCTTTGCTCCAGCTCTCCCTTCTCCATCTATTACTAATTACCCTTGAAAAGTTTTGTATTGCCATACCTTTGGTGGATTTCTAGGACTCAAATTTGGATGTCGTGATGGAGGGGGGGAGAAAAAGGGAGTTAAGTGGTATAAGCTCTGGGCTTTCGCTAGCCCATCTTGATTAACCT